GTATGGGAAGAGAATAAAAATTAAAAAAATAAGCTGAAAGTAAACTTAGTGCCAATTTTATTTTGAAATTATCTTTATTTAATTTAATTAAAGTAAAAAAAACCTTTGGTAAATCCAAATATATGCCTTAAGCGCTTACGTTATGCATCAATTTTTAAAATATTTTAAGCACGCAAGAGTAGTTAGTTAGTACCAGTTCTGGCTCACTGAGTCAGAAGTGGTACAAGTACAACGTTCGTCGACTCACGATCCTAAAAAAAAGGTTCATTTTTGCGTAGGATGCACGGTTCCAGAGATGTGCAGATCAATTAACTCTTATCTAATTGATATCCGGCGAGGGCCTCCACCGTCATTAACACACCATTGTTCTTATCTATTTATCTTTTGTTCATTGAATACCGTCATTATCTATTCTTCCTTAGCGTGTGCGTCGGCTTATCAGTGCTATTGTATTATACTCCTTTGTTCCTAACTGCAACGCTAATCTGAATCATCAATAAAATACATTTCCTAATTTTATTACAATTTTTATTTACAAAATACAAAATCTTATTACTTATTATCTATAAAATAAGAGCGAAACATCTCATCCACTAAAATATCATTGTACAATGTGTTCCCTGTAAATATACTCGTAAAACTATGCATTGAACATCCATGAAACTTACATAGCAAATACATTATATTCGCCACAAACTGAAGTCCACTCATTCTGAATCCTATCAACATTCCAGTTCCATCTTTTACGATTCCTTTTTAAAAACTCTAGATGATATCGTACAGGTGATCGTCCGTATGAATAAAAATATTGACCGGCGTCATTCGTATCGATATATAAAGCTACCCAATGTGACCCTGGTTTATCATCTGTATCCAAATTGCATATTATATACGTTGGTACGTTAGTATATATGGGCAGTCTATTAGCAGCATAAACATTATTTTCTAGACTGGGGTGAATCTTTTTCAGATGTTGTTGTACATCTAGTGTATCCATAATATTACTGCTATTAGTAGATTATTACAGTACCAATCTACTCAATGACTAACATAGGAATGATCAATTATAGTGATTTCTAAATATTAAATTGCATTATTTTGTGTTATACAAAACGTATTTGAGTCATCTATATACTGAACAAGACGCAACACGAAGTAATGCTGAGATAAGCAACAGAATGTGAGATAAGCTTGTTGACGCATAAAGTTACTATCAATTCCACTGCAGAAATTCTTTAGATTAGAATTATTACTTACTGGTACTATATAAGACCAAGCAACTGCAGTCATGGAGTTAGTGTATGGTCTTTTGACCGCAGTGGATCTATCAATACTACATTTGTGTTACTTCAACGCATCAAAGGCCATGGATGTAAGTGTTTATTCTATTGACAAACTTACTTTTCTTTCTGTTATTTTCTTACGTGTGTATGATTTAGTGTTAACAAATTATATTTAAATATTGTGTGTGTATATGATTAAGCCGTGGTAACTCAGATGGTTAGCGCAAGCTGTAAATTTCACAGTACGCGACCCGGGTTCGATCCCCGCCGGTACCAATTAAATTGTTAATTGCAATTTTAAGTGCTGATTTACCGCGTGCTCGGCGGTGAAGGAAAACATCGTAAGGAAACCTGCATGTCTGAGAAAATTTCGAAGGCATGTGAAGTTCGCCAACACGCATTGAGGCAGCGCCGCGGACATTTTTAGCCATAAATACAAAGACAATAGCAGAAAGTGAAAAAGTTAAAAAATACTTTTTTAACAATGACAATCATTAGTTTATCATTAGTGAATGTGATTCTGTTTACTTAAATTACAGAAAGACAAGAGCAGAAGGAAGAAATGGGATGATGGGAAGTAATGAAACATTGTAATATGTGAAGTTTGTTGGAACAATCATATTTTTAGTCACGTGTAAATACTTTTAACATTTTGGTTCAAAATGACACAAAATTTAAAAAATATTAGATACATCATCGACATGGACGGATTTTACGTTACATACCCTCATAAACATTTTCAATGTAGAGAAATAGCTATTCTAGACGTAAAACTATCTAATGAAAATGATGCGTTTATCGATCATTATTTGTTTCGGCCAAGTTATCCTTTCAATTATTTGTCGCCAAAAGACAAAAAAACTTTTCGTTATTGTGAAACACACGTGCACGGCATTCCATATTTTGATGTGACCGAAGAATCAAAATGTACCTACAAACAGATTTGGAATTCCTTGATGATAGTCAACATTTGGTAAATTATATAAAGGTTGCATTTCATCAAAGCACCATGTCATCTGATTAAAATCACAATTACATATTTCTGTAACTGATTTTATGAAATTTGTTACAAAATTTGACTTCCTACATCCACTTGGTCCTGCCACAATAGCAGTAAACGGATGTATAAAGTGAAACATTACACACGTCTAAAGTTCTAAGGGGTGAAATAAAAAATGAAAGTGTTGGTGTAAACAATTAATATATATTATGTACTATAACTAATGTTTTTGGGAAATCAAACAAAATTTATGATTAATTTAAAATTTTATTTTCAAGCAATAACCACTTGTAAAAAACCCACACTTCGTCACAAGAATAATGTAAAATTTTGTGATTATTTTTTGCAAATATATGATTATTACTCACATAACGTTTGTTTAAATTTATGACATTTACCAAATCATGTATTTCGGACATTTGTATTCTTCAATATTAAAAATTCTATCATTCGTCGTCAACATTTTTAAAAATTGTTTTTCTGTTGAACCACATTTGTATGCGAGTACTATAACTAATGTTTTTGCGAAATCAAACAAAATTTATGATTAATTTAAAATTTTATTTTCAAGCAATAACCACTTGTAAAAAACCCACACTTCGTCACAAGAACAATGTAAAATTTTGTGATTATTTTTTGCAAATATATGATTATTACACACATAACGTTTGTTTAAATTTATGACATTTACCAAATCATTGTATTTTGGACATTTGTATTCTTCAATATTAAAAATTCTAATTCGTCGTCAACATTTTTAAATATTGTTTTTCTGTTGAACCACCTTTGTATGCGAGTACTATAACTAATGTTTTTGGGGAATCAAACAAAATTTATGATTAATTTAAAATTTTATTTTCAAGCAACAACCACGTGTAAAAAACCCACACTTCGTCACTAGAACAATGTAAAATTTTGTGAATATTTTTTGCTAATATATGATTATTACACACATAACGTTTGTTTAAATTTATGACATTTACCAAATCATTGTATTTTGGACATTTGTATTCTTCAATATTAAAAATTCTAATTCGTCGTCAACATTTTTAAATATTGTTTTTCTGTTGAACCACCTTTGTATGCGAGTACTATAACTAATGTTTTTGGGGAATCAAACAAAATTTATGATTAATTTAAAATTTTATTTTCAAGCAATAACCACGTGTAAAAAACCCACACTTCGTCACAAGAACAATTTAAAATTTTGTGATTATTTTTTTGCAAATATATGATTATTACACACATAACGTTTGTTTAAATTTATGACATTTACCAAATCATTGTATTTTGGACATTTGTATTCTTCAATATTAAAAATTCTATCATTCGTCGTCAACATTTTTAAAATTGTTTTTCTGTTGAACCTCCTTTGTATGCGAGTACTATAACTAATGTTTTTGGGAAATCTAACAAAATTTATGATTAATTTAAGATTTTATTTTCAAGCAATAACCACGTGTAAAAAACCCACACTTCGTCACAAGAACAATGTAAATCATTGTATTTTGGACATTTGTATTCTTCAATATTAAAAATTCTATCATTCGTCGTCAACATTTTTAAAATTGTTTTTCTGTTGAACCTCCTTTGTATGCGAGTACTATAACTAATGTTTTTGGGAAATCAAACAAAATTTATGATTAATTTAAAATTTTATTTTCAAGCAACAACCACGTGTAAAAAACCCACACTTCGTCATAAGAACAATGTAAAATTTTGTGATTATTTTTTTGCAAATATATGATTATTACACACATAACGTTTGTTTAAATTTATGACATTTACCAAATCATTGTATTTTGGACATTTGTATTCTTCAATATTAAAAATTCTATCATTCGTCGTCAACATTTTTAAAATTGTTTTTCTGTTGAACCACCTTTGTATGCGAGTACTATAACTAATGTTTTTGGGAAATCAAACAAAATTTATGATTAATTTAAAATTTTATTTTCAAGCAATAACCACTTGTAAAAAACCCACACTTCGTCACAAGAACAATGTAAAATTTTGTGATTATTTTTTGCTAATATATGATTATTACACACATACCAACTTTTTTTTCTATTAAACACGAAACTCTTCCTCAAGTAATTATTCAAATGACGGTGAACCGCAAATTCCATCAGGTAGTTTTAATATTTTTTTAAATGATTACTCAGAGTGATGTGGATAAACGGTTTTGTTGTATTTTATTTCAAGTGATTTTATTTAAAGGGACAGTTAATGGAGGCAGTTAAAAAAAAACTTATGTTAAGTGGTGACAATATTTATTGATAAATCAGTAATTGTTATAAGGTCTTAGTGAATTGCGATTGCTGGCAAAAGTCACTTTTGTGTAACATCAAAAAATATTAGAAAATAATGATATACCTAAATTAAACTGCACAGTAACAAGTACAAACGTTTATTGTTAAATTATTAATAGTAATTGGAAAGCCACCACCTTCCAAACCTAATCTAGGCCCTCAGACCCAGGTTGATCCATCTTTATATAAAGTCTGAGAAATTTGTACACAGTCATAATTTTGTTAATGTATCGGTTAGGCGTGTAAAAATAAAGCGAAAAAAAAGATATCGATACGAGTGTTTAGCACTGTTCAAGATGGCTGGTGGAAACTGGATGAGCGTAGCCGAAGACTGGGCTAAGAGGCGCACCTTCGCAGCAGCCAGCAGTGGGCTGCCACACACTGACGATGATGAAGTGTTTAGCACTATCTACCATAGCCATAGCCTTGTCGCGGTAGCCGCCACCGTGTCCGTCCGCCGTATACGCCGTCGTATCCGCCGCCGTATCCGCCGCCGTAGCCGCCACCGCATCCACCGCTGAATCCACCGCCATATCCGCCACCGTATCCGCCGCCGTATCCGTGGCCGTGTCCACCGCCATAGCCCCGTCCACCCCAACCACGGCTACCCCAACTTCTGCCACGCCATCTGTTCTCTTGTGGTTCTAGATCTTCTGTGACAATGATTGACTTCCCTTCTTCTTTACCTTCCGGTGCCGGCATAGCCCAAGTGTATGTCAAACAAATGCATACTACTAAACTTAAATATAATAACTGCAAAACAACAGAAAAATTAACTGTTAATACAGAACGAAACAATTTTTTTTAATTTCAAATAAAGAAATTTTTTCACCATTGTGATTTTTAGATTGTTAATAATTTGAATATCAAAAATATTAGTTGAATATTTACAAAATAATACGAGTACCCTTAACAGGTCATAAATGAAAAACATTCAGCTTCAAATCAATCCATAATGTCCAAGACGCGTGATTTTTTATGTATAATTCCCACGTACTTTTAGCGAAACAATACATTGTAATAAAAATCTGTGATTAATAAAAGTAATAATAATATCTTACAACATTGATCAAGTATGTATCAAATTTGGTTTTTTAAAATATTTTGTATTTCTACAACGATCGATCTTTTTCATCACGAGCCGCTGTAGACAAACGATACAGTAATCTACTCACAACCGATGCCGAGCCCGGAGTGATTCAAAGTGTATCTGTATTTAGTGAATTATATTATGGTAAGGCTGCTCAAGACACCGAAAATTTCAGAATTTCTCAGCCGAAATAAATTAATTATAACTAAACAAAACAAAATTAAACTGCCATTTACATTCCATGGCTTCCCATGTGATACATGAAGAGATTACAAAATATATTGAGTAAAAAAAATTATATTCTCAAATGTGTGTTTACCCCTCCTTGCGGACTTGATATATCCACACCATAAGCCACTAAAACCACTTTTTTTTTTGTAAAAATAGCAACTAATCGATTAAAAAAAATTATAACTTCAACAATCATTTATCTTTCAACATGATAGTACGCATCAAGTGAGCAGTGTAATATTTAATACACTAATACAACAACGGTTACAGCGTTGCAGATTCACTCCTTTCACAAAAATCTGTAAAATTCTATTAATTTAAGTACCTTTAAAAATTATAATTTTATAAAGTAACTAAATAACCAATAAATAATAAGTCTAACCAGTTCCCACAGCTAGCCATACCCCCTTTTTTATTTCTGAGAAAGTATAAGCATTTTATTGCTTGTTGGCAGACCAGACACTAATGTTGACATCATCGCCTAGCCAGTGGTAAATTAGCACTTAAAATAGCAATTAACGATATAAATAGATTATAGACATTAGCATTTTGCGCTGGCAGGTATAAAACTGGTTTGTTCGCATACTATGTAAAGCGGGCGTTTATTCTTTGAGCAACAATGTTTCATACAATAGAGATTGCATAGTTATCTACGAAATGTATGTATTAGATTTGTATAAATTACTCCTTTGCACTGTTCCTCCTTTTTTAGGAATCTTTTACTGTCACTCCTGTGCGTTTATGGAACTCTACCGCTCCACATTCTTGCTAAATTTCTTTAAAATTTCGAAAGTATTGTTAAATCGTATTACTTATAATGCTATTAGATAAATAGCTTTAACTTTTCGGACTTTTTCCATTCAAATACTTTATCACATTCGATATTTTTTGGCCATTCTATATTTATATGTACCTACATCATTTTTTGTGCACACCCCTCTAAACCATTGTTTGCATCAGTCCTCTACGCAGTTTGTCTGGAAGAGATAACTTTCACAGTGATAACACCGCCTATTGTACACATTATTATACTTTAAATTGTACTATACTTATTTTTCTGTATATAGGGTAATAAAAAATAAATAAAATAACACCGCCTATTGTACACATTATTATACTTTAAATTGTACTATACTTATTTTTCTGTATATAGGGTAATAAAAAATAAATAAAATAACACCGCCTATTGTACACATTATTATACTTTAAATTGTACTATACTTATTTTTCTGTATATAGGGTAATAAAAAATAAATAAAATAACACCGCCTATTGTACACATTATTATACTTTAAATTGTACTATACTTATTTTTCTGTATATAGGGTAATAAAAAATAAATAAAATAACACCGCCTATTGTACACATTATTATACTTTAAATTGTACTCTACTTATTTTTCTGTATATAGGGTAATAAAAACTAAATAAAATAAAATAAATACGAGTAATATATCAAAACTTTACAACCACATGTTATTTACTTACTTACTTAAAAAATCAAGTAAGTAAGTAAATAATTTTAATGTGTGTACGTAGTACATAAAAAAGTATAAAGTAACTAAACTAAGTATTACTACTTTAAACTTTTTAATACTATATATATGTATGTTCATTACGTTATAAGTATTAGGTATTTATTTATTAGTACTACACTACAGTAGTATAATAAAAGTTGTTTTTTCAACCTCTTTTATAATTTTTCCTTCTACTTACTCACGGTGCATCTGATATATATAGATATAGATTATCTATTGCGACCTTTGAATATTAATGTTCAAATATTACGATATTGTTATCTTATTAACTTTTATTCTTTTTTCGAGTATACGACACCCACGGGAAGAAATAGTGTTGATAGATTCCATTATGGCAAAGAATATATTATACACTACGCGAATGCTGCTTATGGTGACATTACAGGACAAACTTAAATCATACTCAGCGATGAATAAAAATATTCTAGGGAATAATTTGCATGTCGTAATCTACTCTGCTCCAGTACCATCTCAAAAAGAAGTGGAATTAAATTTAACTCATTTAAACACATTTATTGACTTTCAGTTTTCTTATACATATACGAAAAGTCGTCGAATATTACAAGAAATAACTAATGAAACAAATCAAAATATTCTAAAGTCAAGGAATAATAAGAATTTCATGTCAGTCATGAGTAATCATCGTTATTAATTTTTTTGGACACGAAATACAAGCTACGGAATAAAAAGGACTCAACGTCGAATCACTGCTATCATTATTCAACGAATACTGCCAAAATGAAGACGGTAAGTTTCATCGACAAGCTTATGGTATTTGTTTTGCGTGTTCCTCAAAATCTTTTTTAAAATTTATTAACCTTGGACATTATATTAACAAATTAAAAATAATAGTGATGAAAAAATACCTTTTATTTGAAACATTGTAGTATTCAAGACTCCGTTGCATTTTAAAATACGAACTCAATACTTTTTAAACTATGGTTGTATTCTTATTTCAAATAAAAAAAAGTTCTTTCGTTCCGTATTAACAATTCATTTTTCTGTTGTTTTGCAGTTATTACATTTATGTTTAGTAGTATGCATTTGTTTGACATACACTTGGGCTATGCCGGCACCGGAAGGTAAAGAAGAAGGGAAGTCAATCATTGTCACAGAAGATCTAGAACCACAAGAGAACAGATGGGGTGGCAGAAGTTGGGGTAGCCATGGTTGGGGTGGACGGGGCTATGGCCGTGGACACGGCCTCGGATACGGCGGCGGAAACGGTGGCGGATATGGCGGTGGATTCGGCGGCGGATACGGCGGCGGCTACGGCGGCGGATACGGCGGCGGCTACGGCGGCGGATACGGCGGCGGATACGGCGGCGGATACGGTGGCGGTTACGGTGGCGGATACGGTGGTGGACAAGGCTATGGCTATGGTAGATAGTGCCAAACACTTCATCAACGTCAGTGTGTTGCAGCCCATTGCTGGACATATGACTCTCTTAAGGCGCGCCTCTTAGCTCCAGTCTTCGGCTACACTCATTCAGTTTCTACGAGCCACCTTGTACAGTGCTAAACACTCGTATCGATATCTTTTTCCCGCTTCATTTTTACACGCCCAACATTAACAAAATTATGATTGTGCGCAAATTTCTCAGACTTTATATAAAGATGGATCACCCTGTGTCTAAGGGCCTAGATTAGGTTTGGAAGGTGGTGGCTTTCCAATTACTATTAATAATTTAGGTATATCATTATTTTCTAATATTTTTTGATGTTACAAAAAAGTGACTTTTACCAGCAAATGCAATTCACTAAGACCTGGTAACAATAACTGAAATTATCAATAAATATTGTCACCACTTAACATAAGTTTTTTTTTAACATCCATTAACTGTCCCTTTAAATAAAATACAACTAAACCTCTTATCCACATCTATCTGAGTAATCATTTAAAAAAAATATTAAAACTGATGGAATTTGCGGTTTATCGTCATTTGAATAATTACTTGAGGAAGAGTTTCGTGTTTAATAGACAAAAAAGTTGGTATTTTACGATCAAGTCGTAAAAAATAACACCACATTGATGAATCACAACCATGAGAAGCCGAGGCAGGTCGCTTGAGCCACAAAAATACAATTAAATAATTTATTTTATGCTTGTAATATCTTTTAGAAAGTATTAACAATTTATATTAAGTAAAAATAATATTTAGCTCGCGTTATTATTATTAGTATAGTTAAACGAAAAGCTTTAAAAGTAAGCTTTTCACAAATCCCCTTTGCAGTTAGTAATCATAATCTAGTAATCATAATATTTTTTTAACCTTGTACCTAATTTATAAAAGCAAGAATTTCAACTATTTTACCTAGATATTACTATAACTATAGTAATATGTGTAGTTATGAAATATATTCAACTAAAATATCAGAATGTTTAATATGAATTATACTGGGTGATTTTCTTTACCGTCAAAATAACATATTATGAAATTGATCTATCAATAAATACTAGTACTAATTGGGTGCGTATTTTTTATTTCGATAGTTTTTCATTGATTTATTTACATATTTAGTTCAAGTATTTTGTTTTATTTTTATCACCGAAGGTTTATATTAAATTATTGATATTTATTGATAGTTCAATTTAATAATATGTTAATGTAAACGCAAAAAAATCAGTGCCATGGGCTTCTATTCCGTTCACCTGTTAACACCCTATTTTTTCCAGACGCTAAAAAATCATCTGGCTTATTTAATTATAAATTACTTGCAAACACGAACAATGTGTAATTGCTATAGACTTGCTTTCAATAACGATATGTAATTGTAAACTTACTTTTCCTGTTACCCACAACACTGTAAAAAGATTGTGCATATCCACTCCATAATAGACCGTTCACAAGTACCTGCCGTTCTTCATAAGTTCATGTATTTATTATCTAAGATTAACTTGTTATTTGTCATGATAAGTGAAGTGTATTCCTTTTGAGGAATAAATGTCTAATGTCTAAACCCAGAACATACACTGCCCTATATCGTCTCGTGGATGCCGCAAGAGGCGCCAGAGGCAACAAATCAGGAGACGGTGCAGCACCGTCTTCCTAATAAAAACTGGAGAAAATCTGCTGTTGCCATCCCACCTGACAAACATGACAACTATGGCATATTTCATGAGACAACATATGAGGAGGTTTATGTTTAGCAGTGGACTTTTATAGTCAGTAATGAATTAATAAATGACGATATTAACTTCGCGTCTTCCTTGTGCAATAAGATAAAAGATACTTCGGAACATCCGAAGTATTCGAATCATCATCTTCATTACACCGTCCACTGCCGAACGTAGGCTGCACCCAAGAAATGCAACAAGGTCGCTGCAGGAATCCAGCACGGTCCTGAGCCACCTGCATCAATCGGATTCCCACATATCTTACCAAGTCTCCACTCCATCCAAGTGCCCGAATAGTCAGATGAAAATATTGCTGATATTTTCCTGGCTGATTTCGAATAAGATGTCAACTTCACGCAATCTGAGGTTTCTTCGCAATCTTGTTTCCATAAAAGACAAAGTCAAAGAAAAAATTCGTCGCATGGTCAAATGAAGATATAGATGATGTTCCCTTGGCAGATTTTGATTAAGATCACAATGTCTAAATTTGAGTTCAGACCATAATATGTAACACAAATTTTTACTTTTTGAAGTGTTATATTTATTAATTTTGACTCGAAGTTGTCTGTGAATAATATCCTAGAGTCGCTTACTCGTCTGAGCTACGAGACAAGGTCGAAAGTAGGCTAAAATGCAACAAAAGCACACTTAAAATAAATAAAGCTTATGTTAATATGCACAAATAAAGATTCGGAATTTATTAAATCAAAAAAAGAGAATTGGTTTATACACTAATGCTGGCTCCGGCTTGAATTTGAATTTAGAAGCGATGGTTTGGTAGTGACATATTACTGGTATCGGCATCCAAAATATCTGAACAAATTTTGAAAATATCGGCATTCTGGGGTTGTTGTCGAGAGAAATAAAATTTAAAAATAAAAAGTTTTTTTTTAATTAAGGAGTTACAAAAAAGACTTAACGCTGTTAACACATAACTAATCTAAGTTCACTTAATTTGTAGGTTGCCACATCTACATGGGGCACTCTATAAGTTTTGAGATATACAAAAAGTATTCTAGATACTATTAATATTTACTTTACATCTTTTCAAAATATTCTCCATCGTGCTCTATACAAAGTTCCATTCATCTAAACCAATACTGAAAACACTTTTGTCAGTCTGGATCTGACAGGTTGGAAATTGCTTCTTCGTAGGCACGGCTTCGGCACTTGGAAAACTTGCCTTATATTTTATTTTTGTCTCTTGGAAACAAAACAAAATTACAAGGAACTAAGTCAGGGCTGTAGGGTTGAGTGACTTAGGGTTTCGACACCAGATTCCTCAATAAATGCTGTTGTTCTAAGGGAGGTATATGAAGAGGCGTTATCGTGATGCAGAATGATTCCCCGAAGCCCGGTCTTTGGTCTTCTCTCCCGCACAGCTTGAAAAGCTTTGGGTAATGCAACTGTAGTATACCATTCAGAGTTGACTGATCTACAAGTTTCCAGCATTGACGTCAACAAAAGTCCGCTCCGCGAAAAAAAATTAGCCACTACTTCTTTGCAGTTTTGTCGGTAACTGTCCTTTTTAGTAGACCCTTACCAATGATTGCCTTTTATTTTCCGGATCATATTAATAGATCTATGTCTCGTCACCAGTAACGATTTCTGAAACACGCCTAGATGCCCCGATTTCAAAACGTAGATGCATTTCAAGGCATCAATCCACAAAAGTCTATTTTTCGCTTTCGGAGAGCAAACGAGGGATCCATCGACAACAAAGCTTCCTCACTCCAAGATGTTGATGTGGGATGGTATGAATGCTCCCCGAACTAATGCCTACAATCTTTTCGATGTCCGTATATGTGATTCGTGGGTCTTCTCACACCAACATTTCCGTAGTCCATACAATTTCTGCCGTTACTGCTGTTTGCGGGGCCCCGGTTCTTTGGTCATTTTTAAGGTTAATTTTACCCCTTTTGAATTCATTAAAACACCTAAAAATTTTGCGCGTGTTGGAGCTTAGTTCCCTAATGCTGATTGTTACCGTTGTAAACTTAATTGTTCGGTTAAACCAAATTTAAAATCATAATAGATAATAGTGCGGAAATGTTCACGATTAAGATCCGCCATTTTAAATGTAAAACGCGGGAAGCGTTGCAGGAAAATTAATAGAACTTTGTTTTTTTTTTTAATATTGAGCAAATGGAGTTCTATTCTTAAATAAATTTTCTTTTTAGAAACATATAACACGGGTGCGTTCCATTTTTAAATATCGAGCATCTCAAAACTTATTTAGTGACCTACGTATTTGGCATTGGACTTTACTAGAGTTCACCAATTTGGATCATTTAGTAGCATTAAGAAAAGATTTAAAATTCAAACCATTTACTTCATAGTTCAGTCTGATAACTAACTCATCTTTTATTAAATCGGAGGCCATACATTAACTTTCCGAGAAGATGTTTGTGAGATTATTTAAAATTTGGGTGAATCATCAATCAGACGAACCATCTGGCAACCCTAACTGGGCTACACAGGCGAGGCAAAAAACTCTTCTGTCAATATTTCTCTCTGAATTTTTAAAGGTATATTTATCAGCAAATTTCACCTCGAGTAATGTTGGATTTGCCGTGTAGTGGCGGTTGAGAATATCCACTACCCCATATCTTCCCGTGGGTGTCGTAAGAGGCGACAGAGGGAGACAGGCAGGAGATGGGCAGCAGCATCCTCCTGATAACAACTGTGACGTAATAAAAAACTGAGGTTGCCAACCCGCTCGCCAAGCGTGGCAACTATGGCAAATATCCCCCCATGAATAACGACGCAAACAGACGGCCCCCAGTCCCCGGTAGCCCCGCTATTCCTGGCTACGGTGGCGACCATGGTAACGGCGGGGCAGGGGGTGCTAAGAATCTCCGGTGGAGGTTCGGTTGCCACCTACGACGACTCGACCTGGCAACATATAATGCACGCACCCTGAGAACTGACGAGAAGATACTGGAGCTGGAAGAAGAGGTAGATAAGTTGCGCTGGCATATTATTGGATTATCCGAGGTCCGAAGAGAGGGGGAGGACACGGCAAATCTCGAGTCCGGCAACTTGTTCTATCACCGGGAGGGCGACCATCTGTCCCAAGGGAGGTGTCGGATTTATCGTCCACAAGTCTCTCGTTAACAACGTTGTAAAGATTGGGAGTGTGTCGACGAGGGTCGGGTACCTGATACTCAGAATCACCAAACGGTATTCGCTGAAGGTCATACAGGTTTACGCACCAACCTCGGCACATCCCGATCAGGAGGTGGAGGAAATGTATGAGGATATTTCCAGAG